ATAATAATAATAATAATAAAACTGATAATAGTAATATGCTATATAATATGATAACAATCAGTGTAGTTATAGGCAAATATAGTTGGGCATACAAAATACAAGGGTGCATCGGTTTATATATTCAAATACATATATGTATATATATATAAATATATATGGGTATGTATACATTATACAATGTAGCAGCACGGTGAAATATTAGTAATAATAACAATAATTTACAGTACAATTATATAATAGAAAGAAAGAAGGTAATAATAATAATAACAATAATAACAATGATCATGGAAACAGAAACAGATGACAGTAATATTGCACATTCTCCAGTGATGGAGCATGACGCTCTATCTCACCCCAATGTCCTCACCACTCCTCACTCCCCACCTCTCCCCGCTTGCTGCTCCTCCCCCTCCCCCCGAGCTCAGAGTTGAACAGCTTGATGGCTCTGGGAACAAAGGAGTTTTTGGTCCTGCTGGTTTTGCACCTGAGGAGCAGCCTGTCGCTGAACTGGCTCCTCTGAGCGATGAATGACCGGAGCCTCCTCAGGAAGTACAGCCTGCTCTGTCCCCTCTTGTAGAGGTAGTCTGTGTTGCATGTCCAGTCTAACTTGTTGTCCAGCCACAGCCCAAGGTACTTGTAGTTCTCTACAAGTTCTACCTCATGTGGCTCAATCAGAACTAGTTGTGGGCATGGTCCAGATTTCCTAAAGTCTATGACCAGTTCCTTTGTCTTTGAGGCATTGAGCTGCAGGTGGTTTTCTCTGCACCAGGCAACAAAGTCATCCACCAGACTCCTGTACTCTCTCTGTCATGCTTGATACACCCCATGATGGCTCTGTCATCTGTGTACTTCTGTATGTGGCACAGCTCCGAGTTGTAACAGAAGTCTGAGGTGTACAGGGTGAAGAGGAGAGGGGCCAGCACTGTCCCCTGAGGGGCCCCTGTGCTGCTGACCACAGTGTCAGATGTGGTGTCCTTCAGTCTGACATACTGTGGTCTGTCAGTGAAGTAGTCTGAGATCCAATCCACCAGGCACGAGTCCACTCTCATCCTTTCTAACTTTCCCCGCAGTAGCGGGGGCTGGATGGTGTTAAAGGCACTTGAGAAGTCCATAAAAAGAATCTTCAGAGTGCTGCT